CTCTCTGTAAAAAATCAATAATATATATATATATATAAAAAAGACTGAGTAGAAATTACCCAGATTTACAGGGGTGAGTTGTTAGAGGGAGGACACTGCCAACAGAGAGAAGAGGAGGGTGTCTGCAGGAGCTGTGCATGGCTCAGGGTGGCTACAGGACTTCAGATGCAAGAGATGAGACTGAAGGACAGGCTGTAAGGAATTGAACTTGAACGTGAGGGCAATAGGAAGGTTTTAAATTGTGGTGGAAGCCACTCTGGCTACAGTGGAAAGGACAGACTGGAGGGGCCAAGCCTGTAGTTGGATACACGCATTAGGAGGTTGCTTTGATCATCAGGTGGGAGGTGATTCAGGCCTCAATTCTGGTGGTGCCGTGGAGTATTTATAATGAGGGGACTTGGTACATGATTAGAGGGTGTCAGTGGGGAAGAGGTACTAGTTAGTGATAGGAGGGAGTTAAGGGTGACTGGTGGGGCTGCACATGAGCTGAGCAGGCCATGATGCTGTGAGAGCCGCCACCTTGTTCTGTTACCCAGGGGATGAGAAGAGAAACCTGGAGCTGCACCGGGGAAGCTCGGGCCAATTCAACACACACGCGTGTGATCTAACTTGGCTCCCGAATGAAATGCACTTTTTAAAACCCTCCTCTCATGACAGAAGGAGACTTCAGGCAGACAAATTGTGGTCCGTGTTGGCTACTGGCTCCTCCTCCCAATCAGAGAAAGAAATGACATGATGGTCTGATGGGAATGGCAGTATGGTCTGGGAGGAAGTGTCCTCTAGCCTGGGAGTCAGGGGCCTGGATCCTGATGGCAGCACCTCCCAGAGAGTGTCCTTCGGCAAGTCCTCTACCCTTGCTAGGGTGAGCAACATCGCCTTCACAAAGGGACCAAGGACCTTTCACTTTCCCACCCCTGCTCTGGGGATTAAATATAGATACTCATGAAAATGTGAGGAGTTATTCAAAGAGAACAGACCTCGGATTCAGACAGATCTGGTTTTGAATCCTGTATCAGCCACTTACTAGGTATGTCACCTTGGGCATACTTCAGTGGATCTCGCTGTCCTAATCCATAATCGGACATAATAATACTTCACCTCACTGAGCTGAGATGAGGTTGAATAAAATAATGTGTGTGAGTGTGCACTGTAAGTTAAGTGACTGTTGGTTAAAACATTAAAGAGATGTATGTGACTGTGGATGAGGACCTGTGTTTATGTTGAAGATAGTCAGAGCTGTTAGAGCAAGAGGCCTGGCTGTGCTGCAAGGGCTCACAGGGCAGAGGGCCTTGGAGGAATCATCACAGTTAAGGGCCTTGACCTCAGAATGCCACACAGTGTGTGGGAGTGCAGTTCCTATGGTTTGTTTTTCGTGTCTGTCATTTAGAGTACCCTCTTCCCAGTATCAGGTGTGGGTTCCCCAGAGGGGGCTAGGCACGTGTAAAATCCGAGAAGGCTGGGAGGGAGGGAATCCTGAGGGGTCTTGCACCCAGGCTCACAATAGTGCTCACCTCCCCACCCACCAGAAAACATATGTCTGTCAGTCTAGTTTTTCTCCCTGGAAAAGTGCCAGCTACACATACCAGGGCCTTCCTCCCTAGTGCAATTATTTAACCACTCTGTCTGCCTCACATTCACCTTGGAAATCTGAGCCCTAGTTGTCTTTCTGCAGGAAATCTTTCTTCCCTCTCCCTCCCCTCATTTTCTTGATCTGTAAAGGGAGAATAGAGATGTTTTATGTCACAGGGCTGCTTTGATGGTTACAAGGGAGAATGCAGATGAATCACTGGGCACACACTCAGGCGCCATTGAATATTAGTTCCCCTGCCCTTCCTCCCTGTTGCTTGTTGTTTTTGTTGTTGTTAAATGATAAATTCCTGAAAACTTTAGACCATTCTCCAGCAAATTCTATTTACATTTTACTGTTCTGCAAGTAGTAAATTGCTCTGTTCAAATGATTTTAGAGGCGGGGGAAGGTGAGCAGAGAAAGAGAGGGAGATGCTAAACTGGAATCATAAAATAACCCACAGCTTCTGTGGTCTTTGTTTATGGTCTGGTCACAGCCAAAGGAAATAGCTCTTTGACAAAATGGATGAGAAAAACATTGCAAAGAGAGACCTTTGGTCCTGAGCAGACTCGTTTCCACAGTCTTATAGCTGGGACACCTTAATCAGAGAGTGCTGGCTCTAGGTGAAGGGAATGATGGGTGTGGCCAAGAGAAGATGCAGAGATCTAGGACTCAGGTGGTTGACTTGGTCTCAATTCAAAGCCTACTATATGCTTTCCACTAGGTCCACACCAGACATTGACAATGTCATTTATTTTATTCATCCATCCAACAGAACTCAGTAGACACTACAAAGTTTTGTCCTCAGTCCCTGGTGATCTGACAGTCACCTCTGTTGGGGCACTACACCTCTCCAGTGCCCCTC